GAGAAGTATTATGATGATCGTAATACTGTCATCGTATTTCATCATAAACCACAGTTTATGACAGTTGTAATCCTTCTCCACGATTCTTTTCGTCATATATTGATGTAAACTGTAGTTTCCTACCGTGTGGGTTCGATCTGGGAATAGGCAAATGAGAAAAAGCGTACATTTCAAATTTTTTTACTTTCTTTAATTTGAAATGTTTCCGAGTTTTGAACATCTTGCCTTTCGAGAATTATAAAGAATAACAAAATGCAAAAAAAAAAACAATAACAACTTCGATAGCAAAGTTAGCTGATCATATCTGACTGGTACCAGTATCCCATCTGAACTATTATGAAAAAATGCACTACTCAAACTTTTTCGTTTGCCTCGATAGAGAATTACTCGAGCATCAAAAACCTTGTTCTAAGAATGCATCAGTTCTAGAACTGGTGTCTGGATATCCGAGAAAACTATTAACAGTCGCTCAGAGTTGTGGAACGTCTCATTTTGTAGAGAAATGCTCATTCTACAAAACTCAATGGTTCAAGAAATTCATTATATCGAAAGTACAAGGAACTGTTGGACTTTCGGCACACTTAACTTTAGAATGTCTTGAACCACTGAGTTTTGTAGAGCGAAAATGGGACGTCCCACAGCTCCAAATGACTGTTAATAATTTTCCAGGATACTCAGACACCTGTTTTTTGGTTTTCTCCAAATTTTAGACACTGTAAATCATATTTTTGTTTTTAGGAGAAGGAAATATCAATAATTTGAATATAATTAACAAATGGAACGGCATTTCTGAATTACAATATTGGGGTACTAAATATTGTAATCAAATTAATGGTACCGATGGTACTTGGTTTCCTCCACTATCATCATCTGATCATTCACGACGTCTTTATATGTATTCTTCTGATATTTGTCGTTCTGTTTATGCAACTTATGAATCAAAATCAACTGTAAGAGGTATTTCAACAGATGTTTACTCTATTCCTGCAGAAGTATTTCAAAATGGAACATTAAATCCGGATAATGCTGGTTATGGTAATCTTGATTCTGGTATTTTAAATGTAAGTCAATGTAAAGAAAATGCACCCATTATTATGTCATTACCACATTTTTTATATGCTGCTGATCAATATCAAGAAAGAATTGATGGTTTAGAACCAAATGCTGATGCACATCGAACAGTTTTAAATGTTGAACCACATACAGGACTTATATTACAGGCAAATAAACGTTTACAAATTAATATATTTTTACAACATAATCCATATTTTCAAGATTTATCTCATTTAGATGATATTATTATTCCTACTATATGGATAAATGAATCAACAACGATTGATGAACAAACAGCAAAAGATTTAAAATCAAAATTATTACGATATTATCCAATTGTGCATTATACAGGACTAGGATTAACTATTCTTGGCTGTATTGGATTATTTTTACTTATTATTATAATATTTCGACTCTATCATCCAAAATTTAAAAATGAAAAACAACTTATTCAAGTAAATATTAATGAAACACAACAAACAGAAACGACACCATTATTATTCAATACATAATAATATTTTAGTACTCTATTTTTATAATGTTTTTATAATAAAATAAAAAATTGAAAAGATAAAGGTAATCTGTAAAACAGAATAAAAATTTTCACACTAATTCAAATAATTCTATTAGAGTTTATCAAATGTCAGTGAGAGTACATTTAACACGATCTTTACATAAAAACACAATCGAAACTCAACAAGCGATCTAAAAAAACTACCGGAAATAGAAATTGAACACTACATCTACTTATTCTAGGTACTTTTTGAATGCGTTCGAAATTGTCCAGTAAAATTTTCTCTACAATAGAGTCTGTATTTTCATTTTATGAGACCCTATGCTAAAAAGAGTTTTAAGGGTACTTTTTTCCTCATTTTGGCTTGTCCAAACGTAACGCTGTTACGTTTTTGACACAGTTTTTTTCAATTATCTCTGAAATAGGACTGTAAAAGTTCCCGTTGCGCTGATTTAACGTTAACTGAAGATACAGTTTCCGTTAAAATAACGGTAAAAAGCTTATCAATTACCGTTACTTTAACAATAACTACATTTTCAGTTACCGTTGAAATAACGGTAACTATCAGTTAGTTAACTTTGTGGTAATCATTTTTTAAGTGCAGCGGCTTAAAATGGCTTCCAAAATCGTTAGTTTTCCACTAAAACTGTTGAAACTTTCATAAATGACATGGTTTTGATTGATACACC